ACTTGTTTAAGCTTTAGAGTTGTTTAATTCGCAGTTTGAACCGCTATTCAAACATGTTTGCTACAATTTTTTTCTTCCATAAAAAAAAAAAAAAAAAAAAAAAAAAAAAAAAAAAAAATTTAAATTTTAACATATACTTAATATTTAAGTCGCAACTGCTTTTGACCACTATGCCAGGGTCCTCATTGATGTTGATCTAGCTAATCCCTTCCCGGATAGTATTCTGGTGGAAAAGGATTATTCCATATCTTTGTTTCTTTGAAATAAGAGAATTTTCCACTTTTTTTCTGCATATAAATCTATAAGATCTAGAGAAATTGCCAATAGGTCCACCGTTAGCAAGATCGGCACCGAGAGCAACAGTATTTGCAATGAATCATCCACCTTCACGACACGCCGCTAATCCTTTGATTTTGAAGTTGTTTGGAGGAACTGGACTCTGATATGATCGATTGTTAATTTTAAATAAGAAACATCCCAATCGATACCTGACTTGGCTCCCTTATATCCTGTCCCAATTACCGCCCAAATCGTTAACAACAACAATAATAATAACAACCATTTTTCCAATAATAATAATATTAGTACTCTTGATTAATACCTTTTTATTAATATAGTTATTTAACTAAAAAAAATATTAATTGAAAGTAAGTGATAAAAATTAAAACTCATACATTTTTAAAAAGTATTTATCAAAATTTATCTTTTTTAATCTATATTGAATGGGGGCCTCTTTTTTTTTTTATGCCAACTCACCAAACGGTTAATTGTTATTTTTCTATTGATACATATAGATGTGACTTTTTTAATATTAATTGACATTTAAAATGTCAGTTACTGAGTAAAAGAAAATAATAATTCAAATCATATTAATACATGTTTAGTTCGCTAATTTGAGTTTTTAATTTGAGTTGAGATGTGATTTTCTATGAGAGTTTTTTAATGTAGCAAAAAGTTAAATGTGACTGTTTCTAAGAGCTTTTTACTGTAGTAAAACTCAAATCAGTGAAATGAACGGGGCCTAGATATGCTTGTTCTTTTGGAGTAAAACTCAAAAAAAGTTTGAACTTAAGTTACAACTTTAATAAAGTTCATGTTCGTTTATCAAAATTTAAGTTTGAATTTGAGTTTGAGGCTAAAATCAGAGTTCAAGTTTCTCCTTCAACTCAAGTTAATGAACAATATTTTTTCTATTCTTAAAAACGTCATAACTTTTTCATTTTAATTCCGATTGAGATGATTTTTTTTCTATACGTCCCACCTATATACCATATTAAAAATTTTCATCACCATTGAGTTTTTAATAAAATACTATATAAATACAAATTCAAGTTTTGACTAACTCAAACACAAACTCAAATAGATTCTTAATTCAAATCATAATTCAAATGTGCACATCCAAACACAAACTCAAGTTACAACTTTAATTTAAATTATAATTCAAATTTAATTCAAAATCTACACTCAAATCATCATAACTTAAAAATACAACCAAACAAACCCAACTTGAGAGCCCTAGCTAATATTATTCTTCTATATTCTTTTTTGCCTCGAATGAGCACATATTAAATGCATTAAAATTCTACATCAACTTTAAATGTGCCTAGGTCATTACAGAAAAAACAAAAAGTGCACACCTTTGTCATTTTCATCATCTCGTACATTTTGATGTGACATTAATACAAAAGAAAACAATCAAAATAATTGTTACTTTTAAAATATTTTTTCTTGTTGTGTTATAAAAATAATTCAATCCCTCGAACAAATATGTTTAGAGAACGTCGAAGGTTATTTCTTTCTTGAAAAAAAAAAATGAATTGGCTATTAATTTGTCAGTCCCTAAATTACGAATATCGTAACATTTTAGTCCATGAATCTCATGTTTAACATATTAGTCCTTGAATTTTCCTTTTCTTTTCTTGCAATATTGGTACTTTATAAGGTTCCTTCTGCAAGCTCCCTTGCAAAGGGTTTTGACTTTTTAACTGCACTTACCGACGACTTTTTCGTTCCTATATGGCTTTAATTATAGCTAGGAACTTGTTTATCGTTATAGCTATCCTTGTTTAGGTTACTGTTTTTCTTGGTGTTTCGTTGACCATAAAATTGACAATCAGTTTATACAATTTAATAATGATAAACATATGTACTCATCGTACATCACATGATTACTTGAAATTTTACAAAAGAAAATAGTTATAATATTAAGTGTAAACTTTTTTCTATACATTTAAAAACTGAAAATACTCAGTGTAACTATTTTAGAAAAATTTTCAGTCCTTTATGCAATAATCATATGATTTTTTTCGTTAAATTTTAAAAAATTTTGGTCAATTTAGTGCTATGGACCATCAAAATTATTAAAGAAATAAGCTTAGCAGTATTTTGTCAAAAAAAAAAAATTAAGGTGGTGGAGTAAGTTATTTTGTAGAAACTATGTTTTAATTATTATTTTAATTTGTTAACGGGTTGATATGTAGCCGAAGTAATTTTATATCTCACGTTATAAATTTTTTTATGCGGACAATATACAGAATTAATCTTTAAAAAATTAATTTGACAATTAAAAATAATAATATTTACAATTAGAGCTAAATAACATCCTCCACAATGAGAATTCTAAAAAAACAAAAAAAATTAATGATATCGAAGTGTCCGGATAATCCATAGAGTAATGATGTCAAAAATTCCAGGAGAACCAAAAAAAAAAAAAAAAAAGTGTCGGCCATGGAAAGAGAGGGCGTCCTTCAATTAGGGCCACTCACGTAAACCTTTGACTTCTAGCGAGAGCAGCCCACGTGCTTATGAATTTTCCGTGAAGATCAAGAGTACGTAAACATATGGACATCTATTTGTCCACATTTTCCACCGAAACGTGGAAATTTTGCCTAACCACATGAAACAAAATCAAGAAAACAGGGAGGGAAAGTATTGGGAAAAAGAGCGGTGACGTTTAAGTTTGTTCGGTTATATTTTTGAGTTATAATAATTTGAGTATAGATTTTGAGTTATAATTTGAGTTAAAGTTGTAATTTGAGTTTGTATTTAGATGTACATATTTGAGTTATAATTTGAATTGAAAATCTATTTGAGTTTGTATTTGAGTGTCAAAACTTAAATTTATATTTATATAGTATTTTAATAAAAACTCAATGATGATGAAAAATTTTCATAGGGTATATAGGTCGAGTTTTATTCGTCTATTCATTATGAACGCATAGAAAAAAAAATTATCTCAATCAGAATTAAAACGAAAAAATTATGGCGTAATATTGTTCATTAACTTGAGTTTGAGTTTAAGAACTTCAGTTGAAGGGGAAATTTGACCTCAGATTTTAACCTCAAACTCAAGTTAAAACTCAAATTTTAAAAACGAACATGAACTCGAATAAAATTATAATTTGAGTTTAAATTTATTTTGAGTTTTACTCCAAAAGAACAAAAATTAAGGTGGAGTCTGGAAAAGATATGAAACATATGCAATATGTCTTGACAATTACTAGGGAGGAATATGTGGTATCGATGTTAAGGAAGCATAGTTTATTGGCTTTGTGTACTGAAATTTGGAAAAACGAATGGTCTAGACTTTGTTGGTGGAATTTGAAGACGATGTGCATATAATGTAGATGTGGCTGGAAGTCTTACTGCTGAATAATCGTATCATATATATTCTTGTTTATTTTCGTAGGGACAAAATAAATCATACTCAACTTAAAGCAACATATTCCTTTAAAGGTTGATAACAAAAATATTTTCCGTGTGTTTTATTTTGAGAAGTGTGTGATTTTTTATTTTGTAAACTTCTTCATCATTATAATGAAACTAAAAGAGAACCGCGTGGTCTTACATTAAGATGAACAGATTTCGATTTCGCTTAATTTATTTTTTCCGTGATTTTATTGTTCTCAGATATGTAGAATTTAGGACGTATAATTCTTAATGAGCAAGTGATGCGAAATTGGAATTTGACTATGATTCTTTAGAATATGGGTGATCAGTCATTAGTTTCTTGTATTTAGAAATATCGAACTTTCTATTTAATTATCACACAATATTAGTATCTGGATTCTGTTCTTATATCCCCTCTTTAACCCCTTAATGACATATTGTTGTGTCAATTAAAACGCCAAATTAATTAAAATTCAATGTGAAGTGAATTAAATCATACCGTATCATTTAACACATTTTCAAACAGACTAAATACAATAATTAATTTAGAGAGAAAGAGAAAAATAGGTCAAGACTTGAGATTAATTAAAATTAATAAGTTAATAATTTACATAAGTTAATAAATATGCCAAAATTACTGTTTTCGTCCATAACTTGTTTGGTTATGAACCATAACTTGACAAGTTATTCACGGTTTTTATCCATAACTTGTCTGGCTATGAACCATAACTTGACAAGTTTGTCCATAACTTATCTGATTATGAACCATAACTTGACAAGTTATGACCTATTAATTTCTATAACTAAAAATTGACTTATATACTTTCTTAAACTTTTCATATTAGTCTATTTTCTACTATTTTCCATTAATTTATCATTCATACAAATGTCCATGTCAATTTTAATTTCTACGCCAACAATGGTTGACATTACCATCAATTAATACATTTGTTTGTTATCCCTATCCCCCTATCCTCCCCCTATCCTCTTAAGAATTAATAACATGTCATGTCATGACTTGTCATGACTTTTTAATTGATAAAATAAAAATATTTTAGACATTTTAATTAAGTGCCATAATATTATTAAAAAAAATATAAAATAAGACAAAATAAAAAGACACATGAGTTCGTTCAACAAAAGAACTTTGAAGTCAATTCTTTGGAGAGAAATATCTCTTTGCGATTTGCTTATTTTCCATCAGCAGGGGACCACACACATGCAGCTAATCGAAATGCCGTGCGGAATTGTCATTTCGATTTTTGTGTAGTCAAACAACCAATGAGACAACAGTCACCATAATCATAGTATATAAACATACATATCTTTACCTCTTTGTTCTCAATCAATCTCAAAAGTCATGGCTTCCCTTTCTCTAACACATCCACTAAATCTCAATCCTAGTACTGCCATCTCCACCTCTTGCTTCCCTCCCTCATTTGCCGGAAAAAAATCCCACGCTCCCAATCATCGCTATAAGGGGCAGTCGACCACATGCAAAGGTTCTAGGGAGGATGACCAAAGTCCTCTTGGAAAGCTTGACAGGAGGAATCTGCTCATTGGCCTCGGAGGGCTATACGGCACCGCGGCGGGGCTCGGCTCCGATCCATTGGCCCTCGCTAACCCGGTGGCGCCGCCTGACCTATCCAAATGCGGTCCGGCGGACTTCCCCCCAGGCGCCACGCCTACCAACTGTTGCCCACCAATATCCTCAAAGATCATAGATTACAAGTTACCACCAGTAAGTAAATTGCGTGTTAGGCCTGCAACTCATACAGTTGACGAGGCGTACATTGCCAAGTACAACAGAGCAGTTCAACTCATGAAAGATTTACCGGATAGCGATCCAAGAAGCTTCTCGCAGCAATCCGACATTCATTGCGCGTATTGCGATGGCTCCTACGACCAAGTGGGGTTTCCCAACCTTGAGCTCCAAGTTCATGAGTCATGGCTATTTTTCCCGTTCCATCGGTGGTACCTCTACTTCTATGAGAGAATCTTGGGAAAACTTATCGACGACCCGACCTTCGCTTTGCCGTTCTGGAACTGGGACTCTCCACCGGGCATGCAGTTTCCGGCGCTCTACGCAAATGCTAAGTCGCCCCTCTACGACAAGCTCCGAGATGCCAACCATCAACCGCCGGTAACCGTTGACCTTGACTACAGCAAAGCCGATGCTGGTGTTCCGACGACCAGTAAGGACGTTCAGGTGTCAGCTAACCTCAAGATCATGTACCGGCAAATAATAGCCAACGGGAAAAATGCGCGGCTGTTCCTCGGCGAGCCTTATCGCGAAGGAGACGATCCTAGCCCCGGGCCGGGTTCATTGGAGAACGTCCCGCATGGACCAGTCCACTTGTGGACAGGCGATAGCACACAGCCGAATTTTGAGAACATGGGGAACTTCTACTCGGCTGCTCGAGACCCCATATTCTTCTCACACCACTCAAACATTGATCGATTGTGGAGTGTGTGGAAAACATTGGGAGGGAAAAGAAATGACTTCACCGATCCGGATTGGCTCAACTCCGGCTTCTTGTTCTATGACGAGAATAAACAGCTTGTGCGTGTTAGGGTTGGTGATTGCCTTGACTCGAAAAAGCTCGGGTATGTCTACCAAGACGTTGATATTCCGTGGCTGCAGACCAAGCCAACGCCGCTTAGAACAAAGCGCGCTGTGGCAAGAAGTAGTAGTACTTTAGTTGGGGCTGCACTTGCGGCGGACACGAAGAAAACCACGACTCGCGTCAAGTTCCCGATAAAGTTGGACAAGGTGATAAGTACGGTGGTGTCGAGGCCGAAGAAGTCGAGGAGCAAGAATGAGAAGGATGACGAAGAGGAAGTGTTGGTAATTGAGGGAATTGAGTTTGATAGGAATAATCCGGTGAAGTTCGATGTTTATGTGAACGATGAGGATGAAAGTGGACCGGAAAATTCCGAGTTTGCAGGGAGTTTTGTTAACGTGCCTCATAAGAAGAAGGGAGACAACAAGACTAGAACTAATTTGAGGTTGGGCATAACAGATTTGCTAGAGGAATTGGAGGCTGAGGATGATGATAGTGTGGTTGTGACTTTGGTGCCAAAGTTTGGGAAAGGACTCGTCACCATATCTGGGATCAAAATTGATTTTATAGCATGAGATATCCCCAATGTAATTAAAGTGTTATGGTGTTTTGATTTGGAATAATCTTGTTTTGGAATAAAGCTTCTTATGATTTTGTAATTTTTCTTTTTTTTTTCCTTTCAACTTTTCCTGATCTTTATGGATATTAGTTTTGTGGTGGAACTAGCTAGCCTCCGGCAAAAAGCCATGCACCATCAGTTGAAAGCTCGTGATCTTGTCGTTTTCTGCAGTAAGTAGTTTGTCCTGTATATAAAAATTTATCGTAAGAAATGGACTCCTGACTTATGTATACTGACCTATAGAGAAGTGACAAAAACGTGTAGGTAATAGAAACATGAGTAGAAGTTTGGTTCGTATATTTAAAATTATGATTCAGAATCATTCTTATTTTATGTGTGTTTTTTGTGAGAGAAAAATACTGTAAAAAACCGTGCATCATAATTTAGAATCAGGAATTAATACAGGAAACAAACATCCTCGTAGATATTTTTTCATCTTCTGTCTAGATTGTATGATTAATTATATCACGTCACGTCATCTCACAATAAACACAAAAGAATTTATTAAAAAGTTGTTTAAATTTTCTACGCGACGTGACATGATATGATTTATTAAATATTAATTGAGACATCAAAATTAGACAAAAGATGTTTAATAAGTTTGAATGAAATATTTTTATTCGACTCTGTTTTTCTCAAACAATCTAAATAAATTTGAATTGTTGTTTAATTTTTTTTTTTTGAACTTGTGGAAGTTTAAACGTATGGACCAAATTGGGAATAACTGAACTAATTTTTGCAATCTCATCCATCGTTATATGACTCCTTTTTCAATAACCAGAAAGTAAAAAGAAAAAAAGAAATAAAATGACATGATCTAAAGAAAGTGTTTACAAGCAACTTTGAAATCTATTTTAGTACCCATTACTTATTATATATAGTCAAAATTTGAAATAATATATAAACAACTAAAATAATGTTTTTTTTTTCTCATGACTGTGGTTAGTGCCAAAAATAAGGATCTTTAGTCTTTAATATGTAAATAATAAGAGAAGAAGAATCTAGAATAACCATATCAAAAAATTTTAGAAAGAGAGTTTGGAAAATTACAAAATCCAACCAAAGCTATTTTTTAAAAGAAAAACTTATATATATATATATATAATACTGGATTTTAAAGAGATTTTTTTCCCTTTAAATCATGCATTCTATTGTTAAAGATCTCTCTAGACATCTAGATGATGACTTGAACATGAAATACAAGTATAAAAAAAAAAAAAAAAAAAAAAAAAAAAAAAAAAAAAAAAACTGAGTATTTCAAATAACAACAAGTGTCAAATAACTAATAAATGGTATTATTGAAACTTGTCCATCGAACTTTGAATTTTTTCTTATCATGTTAGGTTCTAGCTAGCAAAGGAAAGTTAAAAGAAAAATAAGATTCCTATAAATTTCAATTATATGAAAATTTAAATTTTAAAGGAATATTTATAGCTAAGATAATTAATATTTTATTCTTCTATAATATAATTTGGATAGCGTGTCATATATTTGTATATATATACATACATATATATATATATACATTAGTTCAGTAATAACTACCCAAGTGTTAAAAAGTATAATCTAACATTTGATATCGTGAAGCTACTTGGATTTTATGCTTTTGGAGGTGAATATTAATTTCTGGTATTATAAATTTATTGATTTTCTACGACGGAGGAATATCCTGATCAAGTACTTCTATACATGTCGTTACGTTGCAAAATGAACATTTTTGTTTCTTTTTTTTTTTTTTAGTCGTTGACTGGTTGACGTTGCGAAATCAGGATTGCATAAGCAGCAAGAATAAATTAATACCGATGAGTGGTTGGGAAGTGCCATATTGTTTTGGAATATAACGGAGTATCTTGGTTTAATTTAGATAAATCTGATGCATATTCTCTAGAATTTTAGTTTGGTTTAACGCAAATGCTTGGCTTAGTTTAGATGAGTTCGTGGTAGATAAAAGACTATGAAAAACATAATAAAAATCTAGGCACTGAATACTATAAATTCGTGGAACTTTTTTTTTTTTTTTTCCCCTCCCTATATATTGTCACAATGTTTACGTACCTTCATGATGTTTGTTCCTCTGCAGGTAGTTAATTGATTGACAAGGCATGGGATAGTTTCCATTTGATTAAATTGAAGAACGCGAGTTGGATACAGTGAAGTTGTAAGAAAAATTTGCCTATTAATATGGTAAATAACATGATAAAAGAGATAAATATCTCGTAAAGTGTATATAAATCTGACGTTTTATTCTTATTATTAATTAATTTTTTTAGTCAAAATAATTATATTAATTAAAAATAATTAATAAAATTTAAATACTTTAAAAATAAATTCAACAATTTGATCTGTTAAATACACTATTCGAGCCAGCCTGCAATTGGCTCGCCTAGTTGGGCTTATCTTCCTACTATTGGCGCAGCCGGTATTTTCCTCTCAACTTGCATGTGCAGAGCTAGTTAGTAGTATGTTCAGTTTGGCAGCTTTATCCGCCTATCAGGTAATCTACTCGAGTCTAAGAGACTAACACCGGATATGACCGATACTTTGTTTTTAGGTTTAATTTCATAAATAGTTAGGTTTACTTTCAATTTTACTTTAATATTTAAATTTTTAAACGTCACACAATTAGTTTATAAGATTTTATTTTATTTCAGTTTCAACCATTCTATTAATTAAGTGTTAAAATTTAATGAAATCTATGTAAATTAAGAATTAAAATTGAAAACAGTTTAAATTTTCAGATTATTTGTGAAAATTAATTTTTATTTCTTTGAATTATTTTGTCCCTAAATTTTATATATTTTTAATTTTAGTCATTAATTTTAATAGATTATGTCAAATATTTAACACCAACCTAACAAAAGGATTGAAATTAAAACAAAGTAAAACCTTAGGGACCAATTGTAAGATGTTTTAAAAATCATGGACTAAAGTTCGATTAAGAGTAAACCTCAAGGACCATTTATGAGATTAATCCTTATTTTTAAAGCAAAATAATCTAGCAAATTAATAGTGTTAATCTACCATAGTACACTTAAGCGATTTGTGACTGCAGTGTTAAAGATGAGATGATGACTACAGTGTTTAATCAAGATATCTGAATTAAAATAGGGTTTAGATCTTCAATCCAATTTTTGTGTCCCAAAACATGTCTAATTAAACACGTAATTTCACTAGATTTAAAAATTTTAAACCTTTTCAACTCGATTTATCTTAGTGGACGTTTGGTTCATAGAGTCGGAACCATGATTCAGAACTATTCTCGGTTTACGTGTATTTTTTGTGAGAGAAAATACTGTAGCGAATTACGAACCATGATTCAAATCATGGTACGAATCTACCAACCAAACAGACGATTACCTTTTTGATCCATCTAACTCACGTTTAGCGTATGCCATTCCCTTTTTTCCACTTGCTAGGTTTCACAAACTTCATCCCACCTTTTATATGTCCTAACACATCTTTTTTTTTTCTTTTCAGAAGACCAATCACATGTTTTGTACAATAATTGAATTATTTTGTTGTTTTTTAAAAATTATTGCCATTTATTTTGTCTCTCATAGTACTCATATAATGTTTTCCAAAAGATCAATTATTTTTGTTAGCATATTTTTCCCAAATAATAAAGTTTTTATTTCTCACATTCCTAAAATCTTTGTGTAATTACCTTTTCATGTGCCTCTCTCTCTCTGTGTCAAGAGGTGTGACTAGGGTTTTGAGTTTAGGAACCTCTTTTAGGGACAGATTTTGGCACTATCAATGGTTGAACAACGAACTCTCGCCTCTTGAGATTGGTCGCTATAGTTATGGTTGGCCGTTGATAGGCATGGTCCATGAGCGATGGAGGCATAGATTTGGTGTGAGTTGGGGGATATATGGTGGCGCCCCTGCTCTTAGGTCTTGGTCCCTCATTGGTATGGTTCAGGGGAAGGTGGTTGTTGGCATATTTTTCCCAAATAATATAGTTTTCACTTCTCGTATTCCTAAAATCTGTGTGTAATTACCTTTTCGTGTGCCTCTCTCTTTGTCAAGAGGTGCGACTAGGGTTTTGAGTTTAGTATCCCTTCTTAGGTACAGAGTTTGGCACTACCAATGGTTGAGCAACGAACTCTCGGCTCTTGAGATCAGTGGCTATAGTTATAGTTGGCCATTGATATGCGTGGTCCATGAGCGATGGATGCATAGATTTAGTGTGAGTTGGAGTATATATGGTGGCGCCCCTACTCTAGAGTCTTGGTCCCGTCATTGGTATGGTTCGGGGGAAGGTGATGAGTGTCTTGGGGAGACTGGTGTCGGAGTTGGAGATGTGGCAGCTTCTGTTAGTGTAAGGGACGGAAGTTTCTCACAATTTTTTGGTGTGGAGACTTCGTTTGGGTTGCTTTTACTTTTATTTTCGTCGATGATGGTCGCAATTCTCCTGTTGGTGACTCTGTTTAAAACCATGTTTTTTGGCCTCCATACCGCAGTGGCTGGCTTGTAGCCACCTTTTCTTCCCATTTAGCTGAGGCCATTCAAAGTTTCCTTAGTGTTTTGTCAATTTTAATAGAGGTATAAATGTTTTCACCACGTTTGTATATTATAATAACAGATGTGGTTTCTCCACATTATGATTTTCTTAATGTATCCCACCTATTTGAGTTGGTTACTGACGATGTGTGTTTATTTACTACTAGATTTGTTTCTAGGCCCCATAGCTTGTGTCCCTAGTATTTAGGGTTTAGTCTTCGTCGACTGATTTTATACATTGACTATAGTGGTTCTTTGTAACGAGCTTTGTTTGCCTTAATTTTATTTATGCCAAGCGGGTCTTTTTCATTAGGTCTCGGCACTTGCATTTGCACCTATGCTTTATTCGTCTTCACTGGTGCATCCAGTCAATATTCATGGTCAAATTTTCTTATAGTTAGTGGTCATTTGTGACTATTATTAAGTATGCAATTTGTTAATTTTGGAATCATATGTTCCCTTTAAAAAATCTTTGTATAATTGCACATGAGAAATAAAAGGAACATAAAATAAGTATAATAATTGCTATATTTACCAGTCAAATAATATTTACTTTATTTATTTATTTTTTACTTGAACTATCTTATTCTAGTAGTTCTAAAGTGTTGAATGAAAGTAATTTTCAAACAACCATAAATTTACTCG